TGACGAATCTGCGACGGATATCGAAACTTCAGGCGAATAAACATATTGTTCCAGCGATCGAGTCTTCTTCTTCTGAGTGATCTGTACCGTTCACGGGAGTGCCCCTGCCTTGGCAGGGGTATTGGGCTAACATGAAAACTCTTATATGTCCGGTGGCTGCAAAGAAGGGGTTAACACGGATCCGTTCCCTACCCTCTATTGATGAAACATGAAACAAAATATGCTAGTCGTATTTTACTACGCCGAAATGTACGTGCTAAAAGTGAAATCGAGGAGTTGATTGGAGTTAGTGTGTACTCGTTCCCTCGATGTCTCTTCTTCATATATCTTACTTTCTGTTCACTTATTAATTTTACTCACAATGAAGGCGCTTATTCTAATAGGGGGGTATGGGACGCGTTTGCGTCCCTTAACGTTAAGTATCCTAAAGCCGCTTGTTGAGTTCTGTAATCGGCCTATGCTCGTTCATCAAATCGAGGCTTTGGTTGCGGTAACTCTTTTTCTAGTTTTTACGCGCATGTTTACAGGCAGGGATTAACGAAATTATTCTTGCTATTCACCGTGAGGCTGAGTGTATAGAGGACAGCATTCGTTCTTTGTGCGAATCAGTAAGCTCGTGTTAGCGTTTTTGCTTACACTTCAGTCCTTTCAAGGTCATAAGGTTGACTTACACTTTTCTTATGAGGATGAGCATTTAGGGACGGGTAAGTTCTTCGTTTTCATACTAATTGCCTTAGGTGGACCTCTTGCTCAGGCCGCATATTGGCTTAAGGATCTAAAGGAGCCTTTTTTCGTCCTCAACAGCGACATAATATGCAACTACCCGTTTCAGCGCATGCTGGATTTCCATAAATCCCACGGAAAAGAGGGGACAATGGCTGTAAGATAGCCAACCATAATTTTTCACCTTATAGGTAACCAAAGTTGAGGAACCTAGCAGATTCGGCGCCGTCGTTTACAATGACCACTCAGGAGGCGTGCTTCGCTTCGTTGAAAAGCCTTATGACTTCATCGCCAATAAAGTCAATGCTGGCCTTTACGTTTTCAACTCCTCCGTTTTGAATAGAATTGAGGCATGTTTGTTGTTTCTGATATGCATTTTTTAGTTGCGTCCTACTTCCATAGAAGTGGAAATCTTTCCTCGGATGGTCGAAGATGGTCAGCTCTACTGCATCGAATTCAGTGGTAAGTTATAGATGCAATTTTAAAGCCGACATGGACTTTTGTTCCTACTAGACCACCATGCATATCAGTCCTCTCCTGTTGGCAAACGCTACCCGCTAGCCTCTGTCATTAACATTGTTATAACTGGAAGAACCTCTATTCCCCGATGTCTTTAAGTTATTATATCCCATGGGCCTGTTATTGATAACATGTTCTAGTCTGCGAATTTGTAATTTTAAAACACAGCATCTAGATGCTTGTTAATTTTAATTGGTTGTGACTACTGTATCTCATGTTAATTATGTTCTGTGGAATCCTCATAAAACCTACTGATGTGAAAATGAACTCCCGCTCTTCGGTATTTAACTCAGGTGTGTGTGTGCCTGAATGCGTTTCCAATACATATATTAAAAGTCGGACATCTGTTTAGTCCATTTTGTGCGAGTATATGATGCAGCTGCCTGGATTTCAGTTGTTAGGGATTCATGGGGCTCAGCTTGCACTAGAGTAGCCGAAATACGTGAGGGAATTCCTTCTGCGGGCATAAGATCAGGCAGAATAACCACATATACACTATCCTGTCATAAGTAGCCGCTGACATTGTAAGTTGAAGTGTCTGGCCTGTATTTTCTAAATAACTGAAATGCTTCATTAATGTTTACCACTGTGAACAAGGTGAGCCCTGATTGCACTAGAGGTGGGCCTTAACATGTCTTGCTATAGCCAAATTGGATGGTGCTGTCAAGTCCGCTTGGATATGTGGCTAGTCGATTGGCTAATGTAACCTACGCTACGAAAGCGAGCAAAGATGTATATGCACCTTCAATAAATTTGAAAAGGTAGCTTGTCTTCACTTTCGAGTCCGAGAAGGGAAATGCTTAATAAAATTGGTCTTGTCCACTGCTCACGTGCGCGCAAAAGCAACATCCAGGCTGGGCTCATTGAAATAGTAATATGAGAAATAACTCATTTTTTTACAATCGACACTTCCGCCTTTGGCAGGCGTTTCGGGTGAGTCAGTGTGCCGTAGTAAGGCAAGGTCGTCCTCTAGAATTTCTGCGGAGCATATTTTCCTTGTCCGATCAGGTAGACCATGGACCACGTTTAATTTGACTTAGTGGGAAACAAACTGTAAAAATGTGTCTGCTGTCCAGTCCATTTTTTTCCAGCGGAATTCTACAAATTGTTTCTGCAAGCGTTGTACCAATTAGGATGTCCAGAGAGGACTTACATTTTTTCGTTCTACTTTCAGACTGAGGATTAATACTAAATACACCTGATTCATCTTGTACAGGGAGTTTTCCACAGCTAGCTCCTCATCCACTGTTAAGAAAATGCCGTCGACTTATTGGGCATATGAATTAAAAAATTTTATTATCAAATAGTTGGCTATTTTCTACTCTCCCCACGAAGACATCGTCAAGTAGCGGCTCAAAGGATAATCCTATAGATACCTCTTCTATTTGGCTGTACAATTAACTGGTGAAAACACAAATGTCCATTCGGTACTCCTGCTTAACAATCTGTTACTTAAATTGTATATCTCCATGAGGCTATAATGAGTAAACAAATAAGAGACATTTAGTAGTAGTATCGTTTTCTTTTTGTGCTTTGCATTTCTTACAGAATGGGCGAGTAAAAAATGTCCGGTAAGTTGCGTAATGCTAATTTGCGTTGAGGCAGTTTAAGTGTTTTGATCAGACATTAGAAGTTCTGTTATAAGTCTAATTGCACATGTTTAATCCTCCTCACAGATTGCGTCTAAATTATACATCGGCTCCCAAACCATAAAGTCTCGACAGCTTGAGACAGTCAACTCCAAAGAGTGCACTTCTTGTGCATAAAACATTTATTAATATTTTCCGTCCCCGAAATTATTTTCATATTCCAAAACTATCACGAATGAGCCTGAGAAGACAAGGCTTGACAGCTGCTCGAAACATTCTTAATTTGTCTTCATTCGTGTTAGGATAGAAGGCCCGACTTTGACTGACGGGTCTTAATTGTAATCATTGTGTTGCCTACTATTTGTAAAAATGACATGCTCTGTATATATTCCTATTGCAGGATTCTGGATGGACATCGGGCGGCCGGAAGATTTTATTCAGGGCATGCGCCTTTACCTCAGTCACTTGTACGAATCGAAGCTCTTGACCTCTTCGTGTCCCCCTCGTACCAAGCTTTTGGGCAACGTTCTTATTGTAAGTTCTCCTTTACCCCTTTTAAATGTAATT